CCAATCCCAACGCCCACCCCCCCACAACCCCGGGAAACGGCCCGCTGTGACCACGTACGCGGGCCCCAAATTTGCGTATACGCGCATACGTATGCGTCACATATGCGCATACGTGCATACGCGTATGCGCGTATGCGGAGCCCACGTACGTGTACGCCGTGCTACCCAGCACAGAAGATTAGTATGGCCTCTGTGCACGAGTGACACAAAAAGCAAGAGACAGTTCATTTTTTTGTAAAGAGGAGGAAAATGATGGTGAGTAGGGGAGATTAATCTTGTTGCGAGATTGTATTGCCGTTGCAAACATCTAGAGTTCGAAGTGGAGAGCTGTGAGCTCTGGGATCATTGTCAGGCAATGTGGTCATAAACACCTGAGTACATGGACCTCCTTTGCCTCTGCGCACTAGGTCCGCTTTTGCACCAGATTGATGAAATGCTTTTGGCCCACATGGCCATCGGATGAGACTTTCTCTCCCGTGCACAACCTCCCCTACAGATGCTCTCTACCCTCAATCAACTCCCCTATGGAGTCTCTCTCCTCTGTTATGCATCCTTTATGGACTCTCGGTCGTGCACCACCTCCCTCACTGCAGTTTGCACCTACAGTTGACTTTGTGAAGCAACATAAAAATTGATAAAACGGCTAAAAATACTACACATTGCTATATCGCGTACTACAAATAGCCGTGCCATGTAGAAGAGCAATGTCTGACATTAACAGCAAGTCGTCCCACAGACCACAACGAGAAAGCTTCTCAAAACAAAATACAGACTTTGATTCAAGCGCGTAAAACAGAATTATCGTACTTTTGTAGTGATTTCATAATTCAACATATCATACATGTCTAACACTACAGAATTGACAACTTAGACATGTCAACTCACTTATGTTGTGGCTGAACGACATGATTAGCTGAGCGCAGGGTCACTAACCATGAAAAAAGTTGTAACATAAGTTACATAACCAATTACAAATTCTGATCGATGCTGGAATTAGCATTGAACGAAGTCCACACCAAAAATGCAAATATACCACAAACTCAAGAGGAGCCAGAAGCTTGTTTGGCAAACATACCTGAGGCAAGACACCAGGTCTCTCTGTGTCAGGGAGAAGCGGAATAGAACCATCTTCAGGACGCACAACAGTTGTAAAACAAATATTATACTCCTGCAAGAAAAAGAAGGTTACTCAGCCAATTTTCAATCCAATGCTCCCTGTTCAGCCCCTAGAATGTCAATTGGGAGGTGACTCCTTCCGTGATTCCAGGTATAAATTGTGGCATTCCAGCTGGATGGGTCCAGTCCCACCAGAAAACCCATAAGGTGTTCCAGGAGGATTCTTTTGACCTGATTGGAATCCCCATGTTGGGTAAAGAGTGTTTGCAGACGTTTCCCTTTAGTTCGCTTCCAGTAGCCTTTGGGTTGGTCCAGTCCCACCAGCAAACCCAGACAAGGGCCCAGGACGACACTTCTGGCCTTGCAGCAATTCGCATGTTGTGTAGTGTAGCTGAATCCAACCTTTCCTTTTGTGATCGCTTCCAATGTGCCAAACTCTCTCTCTCTCTCTCTCTCTCTCTCTCTCTCTCTCTCTCTCTCTCTCTCTCTCTCTCTCTCTCCCCCCCCTCCACTCACACTGGCTAATCCCTCATGTTTCCACACCCAAGCATTCATCATCTTTGTAGTCCAACCAGTTCTGATTGAAATCACATCACCCAAGGTTTTCATGCCTGCAGGTCACCAACACCAACCACCGGTGATTCCGGTACGATCAGCCAATGTCCAGTGGTTGGCAGTTTGCTTCCCAGTTAGATCACAATGTGCGAGCACAAAGGGCAAAGTCTTGTTCTTCACATGAAGAGTAGAATCAATGGAAAATCCAGCCACATTGGTAATTTGTCATGGGCAAGGTTCCAATTTTCAAACATACACACCAAGAAGGGCAGTGTGGGAATGAAGGGCAGAGTCTAGTTCCTACAGTACCATTCTGCTAACACGTTACACCATTGCAAATAGACGTTTAGACCAGCCCTTGCCTCCTGAAAAGTCGGGTCAGCTCCAGAACACTGAAAGACAAAACTATGGCCGTTGGATGGTCAATCAAGTGGATAAACTGAAAAAGAGTGGGCCTCCAGGTATACAGTGTCAGATTTGAAGAAGGAAAAACATGACATACAGGATGAACATTGCAAGGATCAGAACAAAGCACAGTGCGATTGACATGACAGAATAGAACACAAACCTCAAGCGCCAAAAACGTCCTGTTGCCTTTTCTTATGCTAATCAGGTTAACCATGTATTTACTACCATCACAGGTCTTTGGAACTTCATTTTACTTTCGGTAGATAATCACTTTTGGGCTATGCTGGCATGTTGCCCAGCCAGGCACGCCCGGGCCAGTTGGGCAGAGGCGGGGTCGCCTGGGAAAACCAGACATGTCAAAAAGAGGCAAGTATCCCCAAAAAAAGAAAAGCTCACTTCAGGCCAGGACTGAGCTTGGCCTCAGCAGTCAAAACCCGGTCTTATCTTCCATTTCGGTAATTGGTCATCCAGCGGGGTTTAAGGGGAAATAAACTGTGCCTAGAGGGGTTTTGAAACGGTTTTCACCTTTTGCAGACACAGATGCGGATCCCAGGGCTCGATCCCCAGACCTCACCTTACCTTACCTTACCTGTGTACAGTATCAAGTCGACCTTGTGAGTCTTGAACCCGTGACCTGTGTGTTAGTAGTTGAGAGTTGTCTGTCGTAGGTCTGAGTAGTTGTCGGGTCTTCAACCTTAGACCTGTCGACGTAGGGGTCTAACCTGCATAGGGGTCAAAGTTATTGAAGTTCTGAAAGGTCATTGTCGTAGCTGCTACAGTCCTGAAAGGTCAAGGTCGTAGCTGCTACAGTTCTGAAAGCCCAAGTCCGCAAAATTCCGGAAGGTTCGGAAGCGGCCTTTCAAGTTTCTTCTCACGTTATACACATTAGGCCAGAGGCAAGTGGTCAAGTGGTGAGTTCAACTTCGCTTACTCAGCGGTACCCAGTCCCAGTCTCACTTTGTACAGTCAGCAAGTACCATGAGGGACTGTGTGCACCATGGGCCCGGTGGAAAAGGACAGACCAGCAACTTACAGAAGTATAAATCAAGAGGCAGCGTCCAGCCATTCACTCATTCCTGCGGAAGTCATGCGGAAGTGCTGTCTGAGAAGCTTGTGCGAGGTGGTCTGCAAGATGCCCGAAGTCGAAGTGGGCTTGAAGGAGACAGTGCGTTATGGTTAGTAGTAGCCGACGGCCATAGCCGCCATAGTTAGTGTTAGGTGTTAGTGTGTGTGTACATGTGAGTGAAACAGTGAAAGCGTGTGGGGTATTCAGGGTATTCAGTGGTGTTGGACACGAGAAGTCGAGAGTTGAAATGTGCAGGCGCTGATGCGCCATGGCTTGTTAAAGCGAGTTTGCATCTGAACTGTGTTCTCATTTTCCATATCTCTGAGCGTCGAGTGGGCGCTTGACGCCAGTGTGAATCACCATCTGTTTGCAACTTTGCATGTATGTGAAGTGAAGAATAAAGCGAGTCTGATTGCAGGTTTAAAAGGGTATATTGAAATGCATGTTCCCTCTTTTTTTTTTCTATACACCTAAAGAGAATAGTGGGCCTCGTGTGGGTTCCCTCGCTGGGCCCAGCAGAAACCGCTGGCCATGGCCCTCTGGGACTGTTGCCAGTCGGCCCGGTCTCGCAGGCACGCCGCGCTTTTATTTTTTCATTTCCAACGCGGGGGGTTCCGGAAGGATCTGGAATGGGCCACTGTGTGCGCTTTGGTCCCGTGTTTTCAGTCACATCCCGCTTCATGGGTCCATCTCCGCTCCCTCGCGCATCGCTTCCTGTTTCGTGCTCCTTTGGTCTGTTGTGAATGCTGTGTTTCCACTTTCCACATCATCGGTGCGTTCCGAGCGCTCTGTTCCCGCTTTCCGCTTTGCCGGTGCATGTATGCTACACATGGCATGTGGGTGGATTACTCACATGGCATCGGGGCCGGATTGCTTTGGATTTGACTGATTGGTGGACAAGGCATCGGGATATTGCAGACGCGACGCGCGGCTCAGGTGAGCAGAAGTGCCATCGCCACAGGATCAGTATTGAGACAGGGCTAGAGCCAAGGAGAAGGAGAAGGCGTGTGTGACTGGGGTGAGCAGAAGTACCATGGCCACAGGGATCCGGATTGAGACAGGGCTAGAGCCAAGGAGAAGGAGAAGGCGTGTGTGGCTGGGGTGAGCAGAAGTACCATGGCCACAGGGATCCGGATTGAGACAGGGCTAGAGCCAAGGAGAAGGACCGGGAGAAGGATCTGCTGCTTATGCTGCTTACATGGCGGGTGGTTTGAGTTTGATTGGCAAGTGGCTGGGGTGTTGGGATATTGTACGGACGTGACACGTGCGTGGCTGAGGTGAGCAGAAGTCCCCTTGCCACAAGGATCGAGATCGAGACAAGGCTAAAGACAAGGAAAAGTATAAGGAGAAGGATCTCTACGTGCCATGTGGGATCTGGGTGGGACTGCTGGTTACGTGGCACGTGATAGGCACGTGGGCGGGGCGTCGGGATATTGTATGGATGTGATGCGTGACTGGGGCAAGCAAAAGTTATTTTGTTTTTCAAACGGTGGGGAGGCTGTCTACCCCCACTTCCATAAGCGGCTAACAGGGACCCCCACTTTTCAGCCCTGGTTAACCCCTTCAACCCTGAAAAGTGCATTGGAGATCATTTTTTTTAGTTTTTTCTGTTTTCCTTCTTTCGCCACTCTATGAATTGGTGGCAAGTTTGGTTAAAATGTTTGTTATAAATGGCCTGACAAGTGGTCTGAAAATTAAGGCCTTCGTTAACTGTCTCTCCCTCACCCAAAAGTTGTTTGTATTTCAATTTTCAATTTTTCACGACTTTTTTTTTTTTTCAATTTTGAGATTTTTTGGATTTTTTCCATGGCTACGATCCGGACCATGGCAACCGGTCGGACGTCTAGACCGGAATCCAGACGGCCCAGTTCTCTGGGTATGGGTCCAGTGTCTGGTCTGGTAGGTCTGGATTGGGCCCAATTTTGAAAATTTTGATTTTTTTTTTTGGGGTGGGCTAGGACGTTTTTCAGGTCCTAAGCTGCCCCCAAAAAATGCCCCCGGTATTTTTTGGTAGGTATTGGGCCCAATTTTGAAAATTTCGATTTTTTTTTTGGGGTGGGCTAGGACGTTTTTCAGGTCCTAAGCCGCCCCCCAAAAATGCCCCCGGTATTTTTTGGCCGTTTCAGGGCCTACCGGACGCCGCCAGATGCTTCCAACAGTTCCCTCTGCTGTTGTACTACTCTGGTAGTTCATCGAATGAGGATGAGAAAAATGAAGCGCTGGCTGCAAAGCGCCACAGAATATATCAAGCTAGATAGATAGATAGATAGATAGAGAGAGAGAGAGAGAGAGAGAGAGAGAGAGAGAGAGAGAGAGAGAGAGAGAGAGAGATCTGAGATCCCGTCTTAGATCTGGTCCTGACCAGATCTCAGATCTGTTCTTAGTACTTCTTATGCAGATCTGAATAACTTTTCAATTTTCATATGAATATGAATTAGAAAGTCAGGAAAAGCGCCTGCGCCGCCCGTTAGCTCAACCTCGTAGCGTTTGCGCTCACGCGCTCGCACCCACGTCGCCCTCGCCACGCCCGTTTCAAATTCGAAACGCAGAGACCCTCGCCCCGACGTGCGCGCCTCGCCCGCGTGGCCCATCGCCAGCCAGCGCGCCCGCCATCCCGCGGCCACGGGCAACGGAGGAGCCCCAGAAGAAGCCATCACCCCAACGTGCGTGCTACGCCCGCGTGCCACATTGACGACCAACGCACCCGCCACCGCGCGACCACGCTCAACGGAGGAGCCCCCAAAGAAACTAACGTCAGCCAGCCTACGTGCCCGAAGGAAAGACTACAGAAGACCAAGCCTAACTTCGACCACAGAGAAAGAGGGAGGGAGAGAGAGAGAGAGAGAGTGTGTGTGTGTGTGTGTGTGTGTGTGTGTGTGTGTGTGTGTGTG